AATCTCAGCAATCTTGAATAACTTTAGTGGATTTATCGCCTTTATATAAATGGTAGTGAAATATATATATTATAAAAAATTATTTCTTGAAAACTATTCAGAATACATTTATAAAAAAAGACAAGTTTTTTTTTTTCCCAATTTTTTTGTCTAGGGTTATCTCTTTCAAAACAAAAATTTTTTTTTAATATGATCAATTATTTTTAACCTGTTTATTTTTCTTTTTTATTTCATTTCACCCCAAACAAAGGCAGGAATGCCACTAGTACGCAGGTACTGGTTACAGAGAGTGAAATGAGAGAAAAGACTAAATATGATTGAGGGATTGAGGAAAGGATAAAAAGATGAATGGGGTTCAAGAAGATAGAAGATGATTGACGTTGCATTTAAATTTTTGAAGATTGTAGTTTTCAGTGAAGCAAGTAAACGGAAGGAATATCCACAGAGGGCAGTTCGAGAAAAGAAACTGTTGGAATGGAAGTAGCGGTTACATTTAACTAATTCAACAGTAAAATAGTGGGACGTAGATGCCAAACTAGTAGCGCGCTTAAATTCACGTCGTCAGAGTACCAGGGAAAAAAGCTCGTCAGAGCAGATGCCTTGAAAATATTTGTAGAAAAGATAGAGTGAAGTCTCGTCACATCGGTGAGAAAGTAACTGAAGTCGAGATGCCAAATCAGGATCGATTACATTGCAGATACTTCTTTGGATTTTGTCAAGAACCTCGAGATGAATAGCAGGAGCACCAGACCAGATATGGCAACAGTAAATTCAATGCACGAACGAATGGTAGATTTGTAAATGTGCAAGATGGATTCTGGCGAGAAAAACCTTCTGGCACGACACAGTGAGCCTGCTTTCCTTGCAGTAGATGCAATTATTGATTCGATGTAATCAGTTAAAAACGTGAGGCCAAGAAGCCGCAGTGTGTTACTCCTCATGAGTCTAGTATCAGCCATTTTAGTGGTGGGCAGAAAGATTTCTCTATAGTGGTTAAACGAGAACAGCTTCATTTTGGAGGCATCCAACTTTACGAGCCATTTCTTGCCCCAGTTAACCACAGATTGGAGGTCCTTTTCAAGAACAGTGGCCAGGTTAACTTTGTCAGCTCTGACGGATTTGCTATTGAGACAGGAGTAAATGGTAGTGTCATCAGCATAAATGCCTACTTGGGAACTGATGACATCAGGAAGATCATTGATGAAGATCAGAAACAGCGTAGGACCCAGGATAGAGCCTTTTGGGGAACACCCACGTTCGTGTGAAAGGATCTGGAAATCAAACCCGTTCAAAACGACCTTCATTTCATGATTTGATAGGAACGATTGGATTAAATCAAATAAGCATCCTGTAATACCTAGCTCTGGAGCTTATGTAGAAGCGTGTCAAACCCTGTCAAACGCCTTTGAGATATCTACAACCAGAGCTCGAACTTCGCCGTAATTATAAAGAGCTTAATATACATTTTCAGTAATGACCGTTAGCACATCAGCAGTAAACCTGACAAAACGGAAGTCACATTGTTTGTCAGAATTTGTCGTAAAGGTAAGATGTTAAATGTTCAGCATTGATTAAAATCTCAAATAAAAGCCTGAAAAAGCGGTAGGAGACTAATAGGGCGACAGTTAAAAGGGTCAGAATGTTCTCCAGAGTTCTTAAAAACAGGAACTACAGAAGAGGATTCCCAACAAACTAGAAATCAGGAAGCGTCGAGTCAATAGTTGTGGAGTTTGAAGAGAACAGGAGCCAGCTCGGAAGCACATTTCTTTAGGACGACGGCTGGGATTCCGTCATTTCCGCTTGTTTTATGGGAGTCTAATTTAGAAATGATGTCTGAGAAAAGTGATGGGGTTATGCGCATATCACTCAGTAGAGCCTCAATTTAAATGGGGAAATCCATCAGTAAGAGTACTCCAAATGAGTCAAGTGTTGAGTTGGAAGAGAAAATTCCGAGCAAAGCATTCAACCTTATCTGCTGTAGATGTCAAGACATCGAATTGATTGAATAGAGAAGGAATTGAGGTTTTGGTGTTGTTCCGCACACTCTTGCAGAGCCGCCAGTAATCTATAGAACCGAACGTGCGAGATGTTATACGAGATATTATATCATTCTATCAGCAAACAGCAGCCTCGCTGCTTTAAAGACACACTTGCATTCATTACGAGCAGTGACAAAGAAACGTCTGTTGCAATCTGACGTGTCGTTCTGGTAAAGCCGGAAGAAGTTATTCCTCTGGCCTATAGTAGCCGAGTGTACCGGTAACAACCAAGGAGATGAACGCGATTTGATTTGGTATTTCCTTGTTGGAATGAAAGTATCGATGCCAGGAAGAATCCTCAGACGCAAATTTTTGAACAAGAAGCTTAAAAACTTCATTCTAAGGGACGTCACGAAGGAAATCACGAGAAACAATCAGCATGCTGATAGCAGAAAGATATTCTGTTGGTAAGGGGTTCTTGGTTGGTGGGGGGATGTCTACAGACACTACAGCATGATCAGAGCTACCAAGAGGGCAGAGCTGCCTGGTACGACATGAGTCAGGGATAGAGGTAAAAAAGAGATCTATTACAGAAGCCTGTCCATCACCGGGGAAACGCGTGGGGATGCCTACCACTTACGTGAGAGATTGAGTGATTGAGAAATTCAGGGCTTGGATGTCAGCGAGGTCAGTAATGGAGTGTTTAAAGCCACCTGGTGGGCATTAAAATCACCGAATACAAATATATTTGCAAACGGGTGTAGAGAGATCGACTTTTCTATATTATCAGAAATACTATCTAGCAGGTAAAAGTCACGAGAGGAAGGGGAAGGGTAAAAGAAGAGGAGAAATACTGACTGAGTTTAGTAGAGAGAGAGAGAGAGAGACGGAGCTGTAAGAATGGTCTGGAGATTCAAGAGGGAGCTTCCTAGACAGCGGGAGATGTTTGCGGACATAAACTCCCATGCTATGCATCTAGACATTAGGTTCCTTATTAAAGAGAGTAAGATAGCCAAGAATCGAGAAATCAGAGGTGGGGATTAAAGAGTTAAGATTGGTTTCGCAGAGAGCTAGGTTGTCCGGAGATTTTTCGAAGAGGAAAGATTCCACACTGCAGAAGCTGGTACGAATACTATGAATGTTGGAGAAAAAAAGTTTAAGGGGTTTAGGTGTGTTTTTGTTGGGCTGCTTTAGTTTTATATCTTTAATTGCTTATAGTGATGTTGTGTTACTTTGGTAAGGAAAGGCCTATGGTAGTAGTAGTAGTAGTAGTAGTAGTAGTAGTAGCCGGTTGTCTAATGTAACATGTGTGGGAAGGGAACTGGCGCAGACTGCAACATAATGTGGCCTCGGTGTTGCCCACCGGTTGTGCTTGAAAGGACACCCTTCCATGCGCGACATGGCACTTCAAGAAACCCGATATTATGCGACTGTTGATCAGAGCAGCCTTTCAAGACGCTACGCAAAAGTTCGGGCTCCGAACTAATAATTGGGAGCAGCAATCATATAACTGCTAACCCGGTACCCTCAAAAGGAAGACACATTAACACCATCCACACACATCACAAAAAGATACATGACAGCACCACTAATAAGGCCTGAGAAAAGGAAAGGAACCGATAACCCTTTCTGTTATGGTGACCTATCTACATTAGGATGAACTCTTCCTCCTTCATAAATACTAACCTGCGAGACTTCCTACATGAGGCAGTCGGGATGCAGTGTAATCTGACAGTTCGGACGGACACTTCTATCTGCTGACTAATAACACTCTTATTTTGTATATATGTTCCGTTATTTCAATAGACTTGTTCACCCTACCTTCTTCTTTCCGCGTCTTTCTTTCTGGCCCTTAACAGGCCACAACACTTTCCTAAATAAGAAACAAGAGATGAGCCTCTACTCGTCTTTAAGAGAAGATGGAGGAGTATAGACGGGGCGAAAAAGCCTGTATACTCCTAAAAAAAAAAAAAAAAAAAAACAGTACTAAGTTTTAACTTAATTGAGATGTCTATTAGAAATTCAACAATGAGTTAAAAATGACAGTGGCCTACCTCTGAAAGAACTTTACAAGACAAATATTCATAGGTGGACTTCTAGTTAAGTTAAAAAAAAAAAAAGAGAAAGGACACTCATATTTGAATAGTCGGCCTGCCGTACACAGAACTTTTAGACCATGCCATGTTTAACTGAAGTTAAGAGGGAGAGGTGGAAACAGGTGGTTATCGGGGTCTGTCCCTAGAATCATAGCAGCAGAGTTAAAAAAAAAAAAAGGAAAGAAAAATAATAGACAAAAACAAGATGGCCGTTAAATCAGTCAGTTATGTAATGTGCCATGCGTGATACACGCTTAGGCGATCATGTATTTTTCGATACATGACTGACGAGGAAGATTTCTTCCCGCAATAGGTTGCTATTTCTTTCTGCAGTGGCCATCCAAGGCTATAGAACCTGGTCTGTCTTACTATTTACCCATACTTGGGGAAAAGATGATTCATACATTTCCCAAGAGTATTAGCACGTAAGTGAATGGATTCGACTGGAATTCGAACTCTGTTTTCTTATTCCTCAATCCGAGCCGCTATCCATTACTCCACCGTGGCTCCTGTAAATACTTAATAGTTAAATAGTTGCCGATCGTTAAATAGTAAGATTAATTGTAGTCAAGATGATTCAAACGTGAAATTTAACTCAAATTTAAACACTCAAATACCACGGACAACATCAGTTAGAAAAGGAAAACAAAAAGATTTTAAAATTTAAAATGGAAGAGACAGAAAAAGGCAAGAAAAAAAATGACCAGATCAAACAAGAATTAAAAATTACAGACACATAACCCTGAAAGAACTTGACAAATCGATAAATAGTCTTGGGTGGACTTCCAATTAAGTTATAATAGATGATAGAAGAGTGAGTGTATTATCCGGCCCATGGGGCTGAACTCACAATTCCTAAAACATCGTTTTAATCCACTTATCTATTCTCTCATTGGACAATCTTGAACCAAGAACTTAATATTCGTCGAAACACTTGTTCTCGTGCGATCAGCGAAGTTAAGCAACGTCGAGCTTGGTCAGTACCTAGATCACCGACCGCTTGGGAATACCAGGTGCTGTAAGTTTGGATGTGTGAACAGTAGAATGGGATTACGAATATATCACGTTTAAACACCAATTTTCGATCACCGAAGTTAAATGACGTCGATATTGGTCAGTTCCAAGATGGGTGACCGCCTGGGTATAACTGATGCTGTCATTTTGGATGTGCGAGCTGTGTAATGGCTCGGAATTGGAAATCGGAGAGACAAGTTACACCTCCAGTTGAATTCGTCATATTCACTTACGCAAACACCCAGGGGGAAGGTACGAATTCAACCCCTTTCACCTCCAGCTATGAGTTAATTTGTATCAGTAAATCATTATTATCTAAAAAAAAAAAAATAAATTCTTATGCTCTAAAAATATTTTCTGGCTTTAAATAACCTGCAAAAGATCGATAAGCTATTTTTTTTTTTTAAATAATAATATTCCTGTGCCACTAAACAGACAGAAGAACAACACGCTACTCGCGTATATTAGATAAATGACTCGGGAATTCCGTTCAGGGTACACTAATCGTCTGTTGATTAGGGTACCCTGAAGAGAATTTCAAATCAAAAGAAGAATTGTAGGTACAACTATCGAAAGGTTGTGATGATAGCAACAAAGATGAGACCATTAGACCGAACGTAAAAAATGGATTTTCTGATTAATCCTAATATAATGATTGAAGCTTCTTACAAGGTCTTCGACGATAAAATTGCTGTGTTTATACCGCAATTACATCGTTAAATACTTGACATTAACAAAATTGTGCAGTAACAATTGTATGAACGAGACAGTTTTATTCTCGAAATAATCTACCTTACACATTTATAAAGTCTACCATTCGTAAATGATTTGAATGTTACTGCCACATCTGGTCCGATGCTTCTGCTATATCTTTAGAGATTCTTGATAAAATCCAAAGACGAATCCGCAATCTGACCTGACATCTCGTCTTTAGTAACTTTCTCACCGACCTAACGTAGCTGTACAGTGGCTTTTCTATAAATATTTCTATAGCAATTGTTCCCCCTTCATAAATACTAACCTGCGAGACTTCCTACATGAGGCAGTCTGGATGCAGTGTAACCTGACAGTTTGGACGGACACTTCTGTCTGCTGACTAATAACACTCCTTTTTTGTATATATGTTCTGTTATTTCAATACACTTGTTCACCTTACCTTCTTTTTTCAGTGTCTTTCTTTCTGGCCTCTTTTTGGTTTCTAGACTTTATGAATTTAAGCGCAGTACTAGATTGCTGAAGTCATTAAGCTTATAAGTTCCAGAAATTCATACACAGATGTTCTTAAGGACAGTGCATAAAGGCATTGGTTAGATCCAGTGACAGGGCCTAGAGTTGTGAGTTCAATACCTGGTTAAGTGAGATGTTGTGAGTATCCCGCGTGTCGGTGTATGAATCAAGACAAACACAGTTGTAGAGGAAAATACTGGTATATTCATAAAAGCAATTAACAATAGAGTGATTAGTAGAACGAAGGTTGGTTAGTACGAAACAATATCCAAAGTCTATAGTCCAACGGTATGTACCGGGTAAGCTTATCTGGACTGCTAACACTGACGCTCTCTCTGACGCTCTGTCACTCTCTCTCCAGAGCTGACTTATATAAGAGGGACCAGTCCATTACTAGTTAGAAGGTGGGTGCGCCCCAACATTAAGATAGTGGAGAATTTGGCGAGGTGAATTAACAGGATATAACTGACAACTGGCATCCATTACATATGGCAAAGGGTTCAGTTCGACATTCCAACCAACTGAAGAAGACCGGGACGTATAACGAAACGTCGTGAAAAATATGGCAACAAATAGTCCGATTAATGTAAATAGTGTACATAATACACTACTAGATTAGCTACTTAAGGACACATAGCACAGTGGATAAAGGCATTGGTTTAGATCCAGTGACAGTACCCAAAGAGTTGTGAGTTCAATACCCGGTTAAGGCAATGGAGAACTTGGAGAGGGGAATTAACAGTAAATAACTGACTAGAACAGTCTACCCCAGCGAGCGAAATAAAATATGGCAACAAAGATGAGGTCAGTAGTCCGAATAATGTAAATAGTGTACATAATACCTCATCTCGGAAATATAGAGAGATATAAACCTCGATATTCTGCACATGCGTACACATACACACACGTAACAACCTATCGCATTTCTTGTTCCATGCAAGAAAAAATTCAAAAATTTAAATGCCATATCAATCTCCTGTCTTCATAATTTGTTTTTTTTTTTTGGGTGGGGGTATTCTCTAACTTTCCGTATTTCCCCTATTATTGCCTTGCTTGAGGTGAAATGATAAAAAGAAATACTAAGGAACACGTCATCTCGGTCCATCCAATTTACTAACGGTCGCGACCTCAAAGGCGGAACTAGCCTGGGGTCTAACTGTTCTCTTTCCTTAATAATGTTTTCATTTTCTCACATTCTTTCACACTCGGTAACCCCTTGCGCCTTAATGATTTCATTGCCTTGTGTGGGGTGAAATGAATACAGATGAATATTTAAAGAAGTAAAAGGGTACTAATGAAAAGATTCAAAATTGACAAGGTTTTCGATTTCAATAAAGTAGACGGACGTTAAGCACACAAGAGTTATCGCCTCCTTTATCTTTCTTTCTTTTCTTTCTTATTATTGTGTATGCTTCTTTTCTCATTAAATCCAACTTTCTTTAAACTTAAAACAGATAATCCATTATTTAGCTTTGGTAATGGCATGACGTAACGTACGTGCTAACTTACAAACGAACATTTAAAAAAAATTCTTTACAAGGCCCGGGGGCCACTCGAGGTAGAGGGTTACGTCAGGAGGCCATTTGTGCCTATAGGAGTAGAAGATAACAGTTAATCCTACTTTTGAACAGGTTAAGATTGTAGTGATCGGGAAAACATCCTGTTGGGAGTCGGTTCCACAAACAGAATATGATAACAGCCTCATTGATTAAGCGCATCTCGCTACTCTAACGCTATTTCCATGGCAAATGTTCAGAGAAGCTACAGGCCTTCGTTCCACCAGTTCAGACCTTCACAGCTAAAGCCCGCAAAGTCACGTTCACAGCGTCAATTCGTTCTCATTCCCTTCGTATTCCTTTTGTAAGGAGGAAGTTCAACACAAACAACTTCTTTCCAAATAAGTGTTACTTTGTGGAAGAGACTTCCGAGAGGATGCTAAGCTGAATTTTACTATATTAAACTCTTTATGTCAAGGGTCAACCGTTTTCTATCCTACATATCCCTATATGGAATTTTTTTTACCTCGTTCATTTATCTCCTTAAAATAGAAGCATTTAGTAGCGCTTTACTTTGAGCGTCTCTTAGGCTTTGTTTTAGGTGAACAATAAGCTTTTAAAAAAATAGTTATGATTTATTCACTTAGCGCATTTGTCACCATTTTCCTCCAAGTCTTTTGGTCGGATGCTGCCCTTTCAGCCTCAGCCACCGTCATTCCAGTCCACCTCTTAAAAATCATCACACCAAGATATGGGTGTGGTCGTCCCTGGCGCTGTTTCTCCTCCACCACTGCGCCCAGCAGAATGTCCTCATCACAGCCGCTTTCACCTCTCAATACAAAAAACAATGACTTTATCTAAGACCTACCCTCTCTGTCACACTCTTTCTGCTTCTCTAAATCCCTCATTCTCTTCATGTCTTATTCTCTATGTCTCTTTCTCTTTTTGTTACCCTGTCGTAGGCTCAACACAGTCTGGGTCCACTCAGTCTGTAGAAAGTCACAATTAAGATTTTTTTTAAAAAAAAAGCAATATTTTAATTTAAAAAAGGTCACTTGCAGTTAAGGGATTAATTTGTCCTCAACAGGTCGTTAGGTCACGAAACATGATTTAACACCTCACAACAAATAAATGCTTTTATCTAAGAGGACATCCCCTCCAATCACTCTCTGATCTACACACTCTCTAATTCTAATTCTATCTCTTTCTAATTCTCTATCTCTCTAATTCTAATTCTCTCTCATTCTATATATATATATATATATATATATATATATATATATATATATATATATATATATATATAGGTACAAACGTATTATCCTATTATACTTGTGTCTTTCCCTCCCTTTGTTATTTCGTATAACCGTAACACTCTATTTCAACAGAAATGTAAGGCACGTTAAAATATTTCCAGTTATTGATGAAGTCATCTGAATTCCAGATTTTGACACGATTTTTCAATCAGATCTAAGGATTCCGTTTGATGTACGCTGTTGTTATAGAAGGACATGCAAATATTTCAAATAAAAAGAGGAAACAAAATAAGTAATAGAAAAGATGCGTAAAATTTTCATACCGACATTAAATTCAAATGCCATTTGCCAACTTGTCATTTGTACTCAAAATTACGTTACCTTCTTTTTTTATTTGTTTAAGCTTTTCTCTCATTTCAAGTGTCTTTTGCATGAGCTGTCTTCAACACCACAATAAATATTATTTGTTGTAATATTTTATCATTTTACGAGCGATTTCTTAAAGATCTTCGATTAAAATGAATATAATCGTTCCTAAAGACGGCATAGCTATACAAAATAAAGTTGTGATGCGTTTGAGAGACTAGCCAGCTTTAATAAATTCACTAAATCAAACAGACATACTACACACACTTTAATCTTATATATACATGGATAAAAAAGACAAGAGGAAAAACTATTTAAAAATCTTGAGAAACCAATGATATCCTTGCTTTTGTATATAAACACGTGCAACAAAATAAATCCTGCATTTGCCTTGATAAAGTCCCTCAGCAGACGAAATGCGTCGGCTAATAATAGTTTTTCCTCTTGTCTTTTTATTAATTTTTTTTCCTTTACAGATACACTCAGAAGCAACAAGCTGTTTTGAGCTGGACGCAATCACGATTGCGTCCAGCATGAAACATCCAGGCGTCTCTGACTGTTGACTTCAATGTTCACTTTTATGTTTACATACACTCTATCTCTGATATTGAGATATTATATCCCATAAATATAACACACCTTAAAACTATATTTCTTCATACA